TGAACTGTTCAGGCGTGTGGTAAATTGTGCATCCACAATAATGTATCTGTAAATGCTGAAGCGTAGATTTTTTCTTGTGTAAGCAAATTGACTAAAAGGAACCCTATTAAATCGCCGAGTAGACAAAACAAAAAAGTGTTGTATTGGTGTAGACAACAGTTCATATAAACTTGGTTCTATACCTTTTGTATGATTTTTAAATACGCCATTTAAGGCTCCTTACGAAATGCTAAAATGGTGTATACAAACTCACGTCTTTCTGCGCCCATATGTATTTGTAAAACATGCGCAATATCGCACACGAAACTGTAGCAGTCGTTTTTTTTTTCTATTTTTTACTCGCCTCCTTTATTTGTTCGTTTCGTTTCTTCATTTTTATGCCCCAGAATTGTGTTTAACTTTCATTATACCGTGCTGAAGTGTCCATTCGTGCTGCCTTACAGTGTTGTGTCCGGTGCACTCAAGCGGAAGCATTTGAACAGATAAAAAAAAAAGAATTACACAAAAGAGCACCGTAAAGTTTTTAAAAATGAATAAATCAAGCAGTTTAAAGGAAAATTCTTCCACACCTAAGGCGGTTAAGAAAAAATGGTCCAGAGATACAATCGTCACGGAGGGAGGAATTACCCTTGACAAGCAGGAAACCGTTGTCAGTAGGGCTAGCAACAATCTGGAGAGGGACGCATCCCGTGATGTCGGTTATGGAAATTCAGTTAAGTTCCTTTTAGAAGATGGACAAACTTACGGGACGACCTCAGGACTAGATAACGCAACGAGCTCGAAAAATTACGCTTACTCTTGCGACAACTCTTTTGTGAATGCTTCATCTGGGGATAACTTTTCTTATGCTGCTGATAGGAGCGCAAATGGTCAGCAGAGTCCGTTCCCGTTTCATGCAAAATTGAATAGCCAGAGCAATTGCGGTAGCGGTAACTTTGGCGGTAGCGGTAACTTTGGCGGTAGCGGAAGCGGAAGGGGAAGCTATGTTGCAAGTCGCAGCTATGGTGGGAGCGGCAACTTTGGCAGCGGCTGCAACAGTAGGATCGCCTACAATGCAGAGAATGACATCACAAATTTAGAAAATTACGACTACCTAGATGTTGAAACGGCCCCGAACAACCATCAGAACGAGAACAATTTCCCACCGCAGGATACCTATTCTGGAACAAACAGACAGTTGTATTCTGCATCTAGCACCTTATCTCCCATGGACCCAAGACATGCTAACATGAGTCAAAATATTTCCTATCCAGATCTATATAGCTATAGGAGCTATTCGAGCAGAAGTCCTCAGATGGGAGGAAGGACATGTTATTTCCCCTTGGACGGTAAGAGAGGAGCTCGTTCTTTGTGCAGTTCCCCAACTTTTTCAGGCTACGAGAATGAGTATTATGCCTACCCCCATGGAGCTAATTTTAGAGACTTCCCCCCACATCTGTACTACTTGGCGAAGAAGGAAGATGAAGAAAGGTGTTGTCTAAAAAAAGGAATCAACTGTCCCCTATCTGGCTGCAACCCACACATGGATGACTCATATGAGTACATAATTCAGGCACCAGAAATGCCAATCACCATTAAAGGTGCAAAGAGAAAAAGGTTCGATATGTTCAAAAAGATCACCTTAACTGTGGGGACCTACTTAGACGACGTGGTAAATGTAGTGATAGGCATGGTAGAGTCCTCCTACAAATGTATAGCGCGGAACAATAAAACGAATTTGTACGATTTGTACCCATTTTATAATCCAGATCCCTTTTACTCGAGAAATGAGAGGCCAACATTAAAAACGGGAAGCAATTTATTGGACAGAATAAACTCTGCCCTAGATGGAACGACGCTGGAGAAGCACAAAACCCTGCCGAGAGACTTTGGGAGAGTTACCATTCCGAAGACGCAGAAGACTGGGAGCAAGTTCGTCGACGGGATGAATAACATGCTGGACAATTTGCTGAACGAGCCTTTGTCTTACCAAAAGTATGACTACTTCAGTGATCGGTGTGAGAACGGGCCCGGGGAACGGCGCTACGGGATGGAGAAGTAAGGGGGGGGAGGCGGCGAAGAGGGCGCCAGTTGTGGGTCAGCACTACAGATGGGTACTCTTCTGGGGTTATCATTTTTTCGCAACATGGTGGAACTGTCGTGTAGGTGTATCCCTTACGACAAATCCCCTGCCCTGTCCATGGGGAAATCTCTAAATTATCGTTCGGACGAGTGATTTTCCCCGTTGTCGTCTGAACTAGCATTTTGCAGCTATGCCTTATCTCTTACCTTTACGTGTACGTGTGGCCTCTCTGAATATCCAAGAGGGTAACCTTCCCCATCAGGTAATCTGCGGTCTCTACTTGGAGGTTATCCAAAACGCTAGGGGAAGACATTTTTTGGATAACTCTCAGAGAGAACAAAACAATTTGGGAAATATATTTTTTTTTTGTCCCTCCTTCAAGGGGAACACCTCTACTCTGTTACGTGTTAAGCTGTTTCATTTTACTTCTTAAACAGCACACATGCATGTGTGTATGATTTTACCAACTTTTGCTAAATTACCCTCTGTTACATCATTTTTTCTGCATCTTTGATTTAAAAGAATGGAGTGCTCGCGCGTTTGCTCATTAAGATTAAGACATATATCGCTGCGCCCTCCCTTTCGAAGGTACGTTCTTTCTGTTTTCCTTTTTTGTTCACCCCGTTCCAAGGGGATCCCTCGCCCATTTGGCCGGAAATAGCTGATCGAGTCATTGAGTCATTGCTCACTTGGGGGGGGAGGTGTAACGGGATGAGTACACACAGTGAAGTATCCGTGTCCGTGTTCCTTTGCCTATAGCCCGATGAGATCTGACCGTCCATCCCTTTTTTCCCAAGAATGAGCTTCCTCTGCCGAAAGGAAAAGGAAAAAAAAAAATAAAAATACCACAATATAGTACAATATAGCACGATCCATATCGATACGTTTTACAAAAAAATGAAATCCGTTGTACCTTCTTGAAGAAATAAAAATAACGCGAAAGAAGCGGGTGTAAGCCAATATCGACTACGTAAGGAAATATAACGGCGAAGAAAGCATGAGGAATGATTTTTTGGCAGCCTCGTTAGTGAACACGTATTAATGAAGAAAAGAGAGGAAAATGCATCCTCGACGCAAGTAGAAAAATATCGCTTAGTCTTTTTATAACATTTGAAGTGGTACACAAAAAGTGACTACGCAAAGTGGGGGGGAGGAAAGACATGGGAGCAGTTAGGAGCGGGGCCCCTTCTCTTTTACACACCTGTGCCTAGATACATATAGGTGTATACGTATGTAGGCCCATTTGTGACATCTCTGCCATCTTTGCCACTTGTGTCATCTGTGCCACCTCCACGCCTAGCCAGGGGCGACCTCTTCGTTGCGTTTGAAGAGGGGTCCCGCCGAATGGACCATAAGAAAGCCTCGAACCTGCACCAAGAGTAGTACGCAAAGGGGGGTAAAGCTATCCAACATGTGATATGACGCATACAGACTAGTGAAAAAAGGAGAAAATTTTCAGGAGAAAAGCTTCAAACTAAACGCAGCTACGTTTCTTCGCGTACACACTCGGCACATGACTAGGAGGAAAAATTGGAGAAAATATAACTGACTTTTTTTTGTCCCCTCATTTGGAGGAGGAGGGTGACTCAGAAGGCAAAAATGATATATGGGGACGTTCTTAAATATGGACAGGCCATAGTAGAGAAGTGTACAAAATCAAAGAGACGCCTGCTGTACTTAATCCTCCTCAGACTGCTTAATTGCTTAGTGGTACAGACGTCCTTCTTTCCAGATGAATATGCTCAGTCGATTGAAATTTCTCATTATTGGGTTTTCGGTTATGGGCATAAACCCTGGGAGTGGGAATCCTGTATATCTCTTCGATCTATTGTGCACCCCTTCACGTATGCCATTTTATTTTACATTTTGAAAATCACCAAATTGGACACCCCCCTTGCGGTTCTGTACGTCCCAAGGATTTTTCAGGGGCTGTGTGCGGCGCTTGGCGATTATGGGGTGGTCAAGTTGGTTACGCTTTGGTATGCGCAGCTGTACAGGGGGGGACAGGACATCGGAAGGGACAGCGGTATGAATAGCGGTTGGAGTGACAGTGGAGGGCCCATTCCCCCCGTGCATACTATCCTGACCTGCTACTTCCTCTGCTGGTTCCACTTCTACACAATTTGCAGAACGTCCTCTCAGTCATTCGAGTGCATACTGAACATATGGGGGGTATATTTTATTTCGAGGAATTACCTCCCCGCTGTTGCTTCCGAGGGGGGAATGACACTTCCCTGTTCGGGTGAAAGCGCCAAGGGGAAGGAGAGCAACCAGGTGAAAGGAGGTACATCTGTTATGCGTAGGTGCCTCGTGCGCAGTGATCAAAGATTTGCGCAAAAGTGCCACCCTCCCAGCAGTATCATCCGTAGTGATGATGCATGGACGGTTTTCCCCGCAGGGACAGCAGAAAATGGAAGGACTTCACACCATGCAGGAGGGGAAGAGGCAGATAATCAAGGTGACGCTTCCACAGATTGGTGCTACTTCGCCCATCAGGGTGTCCCCCGGAACCGCGCCATAGCAGTGGACAAAGTCAAAACCGTGCAGATACAGAATCTTCTGCTGAGCCTGCTGTGCAGCTCCTTCTGTGTGCTAATCAGACCGAACGCCACCCCATTTTGGCTATGTGTATATTTCCTCTACTTAGTGAAAAGCGCGAAGGGGCACAAGGCAGCTCTGCGAATGGAGGAAGTGCTCACAATAGGCATCCTATACACACTGATTTTTTTTATCCTGGGAATGTTAGCAGATTCGTATTACTACAACAAAATAACGATCACCGTTGTGAATTTTTTTTTATACAATTTTGTAAGTGGACAGAACAGTTACTTTGGAGAACATCCCATCCACTTTTACCTTTCCTGTGTCATTCCATCGATATACCTTCTCTTCACCCCTTTTACATACTACACCTTCTTCTCATTGATGAGAAAGGTAACAAAGGAGAGAAGCCCCCTTGATGCAGTTATCAGCAGAATAGATCACAGTGTTTACGTGGCCACTCTTTTGGAAGTCCTAGCATTATCACTCAGTGTTCATAAGGAGCACAAACTTCTCATCGGGTATATGCCCTTCATCACGATATGTACTGGTTTGGGGGTGCACAAATGTTGGGTGTATGTACAGGAGGGGGGAAGACAAAAAAAAAAAGAAAAAAAAGAAAATTTTTTTTTTTTTTTCTTAAACATAGCTTTTCTGCTTCAAATCGTGTGCATCTTCTTCTTCAGTAGAGTACATAACAGTTCCCCAGAAAAAGTTGCCACCTATTTTCGAAACCTTAAAACGGATAGCGATAAGGAGATGACAATCTTTCTGACGGACTGCTATGACACCCCATTGTACTCTCACATTCACAGGAAATTTAAGATAGGCTTCCTAGATTGTTCGCCACATATTAGAAAACAAGATGGACATTTGCAGCACAACTGGAGGAAGAAAATATATGACGATAACTTTGGAAAGGTTTTTTACGACCTATTTGATGAGAGCAAACGGACGTCGGACTCGGTCGAGCCGTATATAATCCCAGACAAGAACTTCCACTGGTTTGGCCACAAAAATTTTAACACAAGAAAGCACTTCGAATGGGTTTACGAGAAAATTAACTTCTCCTGTTTGGAATACCGTTTTGGGGTACCCCTGAATGGAGAGCTCCCCCTTTACTTAGTTACCACTTCAGAGCGGCTGCCCCATTTGGCACGCTTCCTCTCTGAGTTTAAGTATCACCTTGATGTGGACCCCATTTTTTCCCACTTTGCAATGGTAGAGGGGGGACTGAAGCTGGGCGTCGTCAACCATTTGATTTTTAAGCGGGGCTCCGCATAGCGAGCATGAGTTCGTGTGACGCCATCCGTGGTGGTGTGTGTGGGTAGGTGTGTTTGTCTGTGGGTGCGAATGAGGGTGTGGCTTCTTACCGCCCTGCTATTATTCTGCCCCGCATCCAGTTTGCCTTATTCAGAAGCGTGTCCACTAACAATAGAAGAGGAAGAAGGAGGGGCAGGGACACTTTCCTTCCACTGCATCGTCGCCGTTGTTTAGTTGGATAAGAAGAAGGCACTTCCTTCACGAAGCGGACACGCGGGGAAAGGGAATTACCTTTTTTTTTTTTTTTTTATTATTTTTTTTTCTTTTCCTTGTACAATTCTTTTGAACTGGGCATCACTGCTCCACTTTTGTTCGTATGCTAAACCGTTCTTAATGACAAAATGTTTTGCCCGCAAAAGGGAGTACCGGAGAAGAGCCTCCAAATGCGCGCCGTCCACTTGGCTGACTCATCCCTCCGTCTTTTTAAAAATGACCGTGGGTGTAGATAATAGCAAGGCGATTGTCTCATATGTTTGCTTCCTTTCTTTTCCTGTTCAAACACAAGTGAAAAAAAAGCGCAAAAATGGGAACGCTCAAAATCAAATGCTCAAATGCAAACGGGGAAATACAAACGGGAAAATACAAACACGCAAATGCAAATGTACAAATGTACGTACTGTGTACACGCTTGTGTGCGCCCCGAGGAACAGCTCCATTTTGACGTGCCTTTTGGCACCACCGCCAAGGCGGACAAGAAGACATGGAGCAGCGGGACAAAAGCGGTTCATTCATGTCGTCAATATTGTCCCGAACAGCAACAGGGAAAAGAAAAAAAAGGGGTCATTCGCGTAACACAATTTTTCCCATTTTTTTTTTCTCTTTTTTTTTCATTTTGTGCACACGTTGTGGAGAAGGAAGAAACGGTTGACGCAGGATTTTAAGACGCCCGTTAAGGGCCTAAAATGGCATGCGTACAAATTAACGAAGCTGTCTACACATTGAACAAATTGGATATCCTATTTACGCGCTTTTTATGAAAAAAAAAAAAAGAAAAAAAAAAAAGAGGGAATGATGGACATGTGTTCACTGCACTGCTCCAAGCTGAATGATCGGACTGCCAACGAGTTGAGCTGCTGCAACAAAACGAGGTTACAGAAAGGAGAAAAAAAAATAAAGAGAAAGCCAAATGCATGTTTTCATATTCCCCTGTTATGCAAAGAATGCATTGTGGAGTAGACCTGTTCGCAGCTCACCTTTTTTAATTTCACAAATGAGTGCGTAACGGGAGGAGGCTCATGTCTATGCACACATGTGACCGTGACCCATTTTGGCTAACACCTCCGGGTGATCCCCCCCCCCCATCCACATGTCGTTCTCTACACAGACAGGAAGATAAAAATGAAGCAAACATAAGATACAACAAGGAATGCAACTACAAGCTCTTTTTCTTCATTGTCCAGTTGCAGCAAAAGTTGAAAGAAGTGGAAAAGGAAAACGAAAGTAAATTATCCCCTTCGAAATACACGTCCAATTATGCAGAAATAGATACACACGTGCATACACTTGTATGGGCGAGGCAATATTCACCTCATGTGTGATTAACTCCTATGTACTCCATGGCGACTCCCCTTTCTCCTTCCCCCTTCTCAGAACTGAAGGCCTTGCTGAAAAAGTACAACAAAGAGACTATCGACCACGACAACGAAGTTATCAAACAGGCCCTTCTGCTCATAAGCTGCCTCATTTTTGTCGTTATTTTTTTTTTATTCTAGTTCGGCTGTGCTTAGGAGTGAGCCGCAGTGGGAGAGGGGGTGGTAGTAGCCAAAATGGTACGTCAAAAGGGTTCATGAAGGGGGCCCGTCAACACTGCCTACCAAACGTATGGATAACCGGAACCCCCCCTGCGACCTGCTGTCCAATCTGTTTTTTTCCATTAAAACTTATTACTTGCCTCAACACCGGGCGGGAAAATGAAAAAAAA